GAGGTGAAAAGTGATTGAAGATGTGCCTTCAAAGATGGGATGTCCTGCAGATGAAGCTAAATTGGAGACAAACTTGGCATGAATCAAGCAATGCTTGGCTGGTGCAAGCCTCTAGGCTATCTGTTTGAAAGTCGAATGCCTGTGCTTGTCATGCTTGAACCATCTGTACAGTGCTATCTGTATCCAAGGCATCATGGAACCTGGAAGGAAAGATCCCTTACTGCATGCTCTCCATCCTTAGTCAGTATTCATGCCGCTAACAAATGAGGAAACACAACCATCATGGACATCTTGGTGCTTTGCCGACATCGCATGCAGCGCAATTGCCATTCACGATATGTCGAACAGTTCCAAGAAAGAGATAAAAACAAAACTTAAAACTCTAAAACTGAAGGTCAAAGTACTAAATATCAGTCAATTTTTAGGTTCTTTCTACCCTGCTTTCAAGCTATCTTGCATCCGTTCATGACAGCATTTCTCCTAAAACGGACGTCGGATTCAAATCAGCACGAAGGTCAAGGTCAAGGTTAGGTCAACCCATAAGCCCCCTAATAAAATACTAGGAAAACTTTAGTTGCACTCTCTAAAATAAGAGATGTATTGCCCCTACAATCCATGAAGTACCCGCTTGGACCGGGTCCTCCTACCCCAAAAGTACCCCACTAGCTACATTATGAAAAAGAGGATACGTGTCCTTGAAAGGCCAGAGTGACAGGAGGCTGCCGCCCTTGCCGTGCATCGTAGCTGACGATCGCAAGTATGTTGTTTGCCCATGATGATATCCTCGAACGCATGTTTGGGTCTGATACTGTGATGTAGGGGCATCTCACATTGCGTTAGTTGTGTCCACGGGAGGGAAGTATGAAGACGCCCAGGGCGAACGAACTCTCTCAAGACCGCGACAACCAAGGTGAGACCTATCGATTTTGTACCAGTGTCGATCCCCCCCGTGCTGCGATGGCTGAGTGCGAGGCTCAATTTCTATATGGGAAGCTGACCTTGCGCGCTGCCTCCCAGGGCCTGAAAAGAAGAGACAAGATGTGAAGCAAGCTTCAACCCCTCGTTCCAAGACGGGTTCTGAGGAGATCCTCAATTCCGGCATCTCTGCTGAAGCTCAGGACTCTAGGACTCAGAGGTCTCCATGGATGAATGAAATGGAGGGTGTACACACAGGGATGGAGGGAGTGCAATCAGAAATGGAGGGAGAACAACAAGAGAGGCGGAATGAAGAGATCCGAGATGTACAAGGAGAGATCAAAGATGTACAAGGAGGGATCGGAGATGTACAAGGAAAGATCGGAGATGTACAAGGAAAGATCGAAGGTGTACAAGGAGAGATCAAAGATGTACAAGGAAAGATCGAAGGTGTACAAGGAGAGATCAAAGATGTACAAGGAAAGATCGAAGGTGTACAAGGAAAGATCGAGGGTGTACAAGGAGAGATCAAAGATGTACAAAAAGAGATTACAGATCTGTTGAAAAGGATGCAAGGTCAAAATGACCCAGCTTGTAGAGGACAAGACGCAGCTTGTAAAGGACAAGACGCAGCTTGTAAAGGACAAGAAGCGGCTTGTAAAGGACAAGACGCAGCTTGTAGAGTACCAGCAGCTGCTTGTAGAGGACAAGAAGCGGCTTGTAGAGGACAAGAAGCGGCTTGAGGGGCTTATTCCACGTCCTGTGCAACTTCGAGACAGCTTGTCAAGACCTGAAGGTGAAACAGAATTGAATGTGGCTATCATGGGTACTAAGAGGACTGATGCTAGTTGGCATGCTAAGTTTCTTGAAAGAGCTCTGGACTACCGCACGCGCAGGAAAGGGCTTGGTGGCTAATGAATACGTCAGCTTCTCCACATGCTTGGGAGGCTATGAGACACTTGGAAACAAGCTCTTCATACGAGCGTGCTACTTGAAGATGAGGGAGTTGATTGCCAATGATTTCAAGTTGGACCCAGAGACGCTAAAGGGCAAGGACTCCACTCAAGGATGCCATCAAGTAATCCTCACAGGTACTCCAGGGATCGGGAAGTCCTGCTTCGCATACTTCTTACTTCTTCAGCTCCTCCGGCCTGGTGAGGAAGTAGTGTATCAGATAGGGAGTGAATATTGGTACTTTGATGGAGAAGCATGGAGCCTGCTCATGGATGGATCCGTAGCGCAACGCTTTCTTCAAACGTTTAGGCACTGGTATATCTGTGATCTGTTGAAAAAGCAGGGGAACTATTCGATATCACGAACCGCGAAGACAATCATAATCTCTTCACCGAAGTATGGGATGTTCAAGGCCATTGTGAATGCTGGATCGGCGAAGAGATATTTCTTGCCGTTGTGGTCAGACGAGGAGATGTCACTCTTCATCAAGATGCAATCGGAGCGTGGTATGGACCCTGACGAAGTACAGAAGATCGTAGAGGATTGGGGCAATGTGCCGAGAAACATCGTCGTGAAACCTTTAGAGACACTTGGGCAGGCTGTTGGAGGAATAGATTCAGTGATATCACTCAAGAACAAGATGGATGCAGCAGTGAATGACGACCTTGGAATGCCATCGAAACTGATTCACCTTTCCCCCAGCACTGACTTCAGATCCTTTACCGCTCGAATATGCTCGACGAAGGCCGAGAAGATGATATTTGAGACCCTTGTGAAAAGGGATTGGGATCATGTTGTCGACTTTGCTTTTTCGAGTCCTACTTATGGCTATCAGTCAGCTGCAGGTGTAGCTTTTGAACACGTTGCGCATGAGGTGCTGAAGGGAGGAGGAATGTACCATCTGCAAAGGCTGGATAAGGATACGGGCGATGGAAACGGGTCAGAAAAGCTGAAGTTGAAGGAATCGCAACCGTACAATGAATTTGCGTCATCAATCGGAGACTTGGAGGAGTGGGTGATCATGCCGGATGCATACTGTAAGCCAAAGGCATCGAACTTTCCTTGCATGGATGCGATGTTATTGTCTGCTAGCGGGGTTCTCTACATGTTCCAGATGACACGGGCGGGGAAACATCCTATCAAAGTGGACTCATTACTCAACATCTTGAACGCTCTGCGAGCCAAGAACAAGTTTGAGAGGCAATTATTTGTGTTCGTTGTACCTTCAGGGCATGAGGAAATGCCCTGCTGGGGACGAGATCAAGGCTTCACATCTCAGGGAGTGAAGGCAAGCCAGGAGCAGGAGAGTCAAATCAGGGGAGTCACTCAGTATATCATGATGCTTTCGAAGGAGGATGCGATGCGGAGGCCAAAGGGATGGATGACTGTCACTCCGCCACGTACGTAGTCAATCGCAAGAGCAGCGCCAAGGGAGTAGTTGGAACCTGGGAGGACGCGACAGAAGAAGAGAAGTTTTTGCACGTAGAGAGTCGCCTTGCAAGGTTGTGCATCCAAGACTTTAGAATCGTCAGGATTCCTGTGGGCGATCATTTCGAAATATACAAAGTTGCCAGAGCCCAGCAATCTTTGCGTTTGAGATGAGGACCTTCGTCGCGATGCTGTAGAAGCTTGCTAGAATAGATAAACGACACACGTGGCCATCATGACTCTATCTCCTACGAGCCTACTGAGCCTGACAGCGCCTTCCGCAGTGCGATGACTCGACGCTATCCAATAGACTTTTCCACTGACGAACCGTGCTAGCAACTCGCAGATGGAAGTTTGTTTTGCGATGATGGTGTGAGTTGCTGCCGTGACCTCCTGCTTTCATCTCACGTCACTGATTACTCTATGAATCAACTTCGCACATGGTGGTTCCCCTACACAGCGAGATGCTCCGGTCTATTCGGGACTTCTCTGAAGCCTAGCAGGATGTTCAATTCAACATTTACATGCGGCGAGATAATATCCGAGCTCTTCAACATCTGGTGCATATCTCCACACCTTTCCAAACCTCCTACCTCAGTTGCCACTGCTTTCAAAGCCCCGCCGTTTCTCTTCGACTCTCTTTCTCTCAATCTTCCGCATCGATATCAATCCTTTGTCGCCTCATACTTGTCAATCTCCACAGCCTTGTAGTGCTCCATGTGCTAATACAGGTTCACTTCGGTACAGGCTGCCTCAAGAGCAAAGTAAGGCAATGACACTTAGATAGGAGCCGCCTGCGGCGGATAGGGCGCCCACCTCGTAAGCCTTGGAGGATTTGGGCAAGTCAAGCATGGCAGGGAGACGATATGCGTCATTTCTTTGGGTGCTGATATTGACCCGCTTGGACGCCAGATCATGGAAAGCTTCCCTGTACTGATCACCCTCCAACGATCTCCTGCCTGGATCTTTGAGTATGTCCAAGATTGATTGGGCATGACGCCACATTTACGGCGGCGCTTCAAAGGTCTGCTCTCCTTCTCCGGTGCTGGTTTGTCGCATCTGCCGCAATGGTTTACCTCGCCTGCCTGGGCCACCACAGACGCACAGACGTGATGGAAGAGCTGCTTGCGCTTGCACCATGGGACATGATACACGCCGATGCAAACAAGCAAGACCGGATCATTCGTCAAGTGTGGCTGCTTCGAGAAGATGACCGTAACTGGGAAACGTCATCTGTTCTGAAAACGTTTCGGTAAGAGCGATGCCTAGGATGTGTGTATGCCGGGACGTTGCCTGCTGCCAGTGATGACTGATGCAGGATGACATGCTTCTTGTGATGAGGGATGCTCTCTATAGACCCCACAAGCCCGCCTCATCGTCGAATACTCGGAAACGGAGAAGGCAGCGGAATCCGCTACTCAACCACGCAAGCGACGGCATGACGTAAAACTCTTGTTATCAAGCAATGGGTACCACGTGGTAGTATTCTTTTGTACCAGTGGAGTAGATCAAAACTTTTTATTGACTGAAAAAGAAGGGTAAACCGGAGCAAACAAAGGAGGACGAGGATAAAGCCTACAAACCCGCCTCAATAAAATACTAGGAAAACTTTAGTTGCACTCTCTAAAATAAGAGATGTATTGCCCCTACAATCCATGAAGTACCCGCTTGGACCGAAGGTCAGCCATGTGCTTAGCAATTAGTGGCTAAGAATATGAACGACCTCAACGATTGGCTTAGCATAGGGTCCCAACCGTTGCGATCTCCCGGTACCCATTTGAAGCCCTTCCTTCCCCGTTCCCTTCCATCATGCTCACGCCTGCCGTGACTCTGCTCGCCCCTGCCTTCCATCCTCCCTCTCTTCCCGCGCAGTCAACAACCTTGAAAGCTTGTAGTGTGGTAGATCATGTTCCTCGTCTCACAGTATGCATATCAAGTTTCCGAGTGATCTATTTATGTACAATGCAAATTTGAATAAACAGGCTGAGCAAATTCACGGTTGTGCAACGCGTCTTACGCAAAACTCAAGGATATCGGAGAGCTTCCATGTACTTTACATCAATTGCTATGTTGTCATTTGATCTCTGACAAGTGCATCTATCTTCACTTGATGAAGATTTCAAGCACACAACACGTTATCAGCCAGTGAACTTTTGTATTTGAATGAGGTGAAAAGTGATTGAAGATGTGCCTTCAAAGATGGGATGTCCTGCAGATGAAGCTAAATTGGAGACAAACTTGGCATGAATCAAGCAATGCTTGGCTGGTGCAAGCCTCTAGGCTATCTGTTTGAAAGTCGAATGCCTGTGCTTGTCATGCTTGAACCATCTGTACAGTGCTATCTGTATCCAAGGCATCATAGAACCTGGAAGGAAAGATCCCTTACTGCATGCTCTCCATCCTTAGTCAGTATTCATGCCGCTAACAAATGAGGAAACACAACCATCATGGACATCTTGGTGCTTTGCCGACATCGCATGCAGCGCAATTGCCATTCACGATATGTCGAACAGTTCCAAGAAAGAGATAAAAACAAAACTTAAAACTCTAAAACTGAAGGTCAAAGTACTAAATATCAGTCAATTTTTAGGTTCTTTCTACCCTGCTTTCAAGCTATCTTGCATCCGTTCATGACAGCATTTCTCCTAAAACGGACGTCGGATTCAAATCAGCACGAAGGTCAAGGTCAAGGTTAGGTCAACCCATAAGCCCCCTAATAAAATACTAGGAAAACTTTAGTTGCACTCTCTAAAATGCACAGGTACGAATCAGTATGATAGATTTCTGATGTCTTTCCACCGAACTATGTCGGTACCAGCACAAGGCGACGGTGAAGAGTCGGAGGCAGCCAGGAGCTCAACGGATTTGTTATCGTGCCGGAGGAGAGTGTGTATAGAAATGGAAAGGCTGGGGATCAAAGCTGATGAGATAGGAACACATTCTGTAAGGAAGGTGAATAAGCCAAGTTTGTGGTGAATAGTGACTCGAGCTTACTTCCGGTATAGGGCGCTGCCACCTTCTGTGCAAGTGGAAGTACCCAATGCTCACCTGTAGTGGCACTTACAGGAAGAGCTGGGTGGGCAAATGGAAGGGTTTATGATCGATACTTCAAGTTCGAGGCAGCAGGTAGAATTTTGCTAAGTTAGTGACATTTGAAATGAGTTATATGCTCGCAGGGGATGCTTTTGTTGGAAGGACAGCGGCAGGATTGCGCATCGATTCTGCCTGAGAATTTGCTATCCTTCCACCTCACTTTGGTCCTCAGCAAGACAGTTATGTCAGCGACGCAGTTCAATCGTGCTTCCCACACATCAGGCAGGAATTTCGAGGTGTAGCAGAACATGCTCTCGCGAGCTTGGTTTATCATTGGGACTATTTGAAGACTCGATTAGACGAGCATCACCTGATGTGGAGCTGTGCATTGGTTCGAACAGAAGGGATGCTGGATGAATTGAAGCGTCGAGTGAAGTGTGGGTTGCCTGGTGACCCGCCGGC